GTAACCAAAGAGAGCTGATAGGATACCGATCCTGGTCAGAACCGGACAATGCTGAGACCTAGGAGTTCTCAGCTCGATCAAGAGTTCAGATCCACAGAGGAACAGACAGAAACGGGGTTCCAGGAATTCAGAGCCTTCAGGCAGGTTTAGAGTCCAGAGATAGACGGGAGCAGAAGCGTGCCCACACAGATATGCACAGAAGCAGCCAGACAGGCTCAGTGGTTGAGGGAACAGAGACAAGATGTTGTACCAGGATTTCAGCAGGACTTTAAACTGGTCTCCTCTTGGAGCCAGGCTTACGGGCATAAAACTGACCTTCTCCGCGTTCTGAGCCAAAACCCTGAGGGTTCTGTAGAGAAGGAGCAGGACACGATCAGATGACAAGACAGAAACTAAAACCCTCTCAATCCACTGACCGCCAGGAACCTGGACACAAACCTTGGAACCGTGTTTTGCTCCTGGGACTAATTACTCCTTTGGTTTGAAAACCTCATCCTATCTTGGTGAGAGTTCACTTTCCCATTGGTTTAGCTGGTAGAATGGACCAAAGTTAACTGTATTGTGTGCAATAATATAATTTTACACATTGCACTTGAATTTCAGATAGATGCATAAAACTCATTCAGACACTTTAAATGATTATAGGTGGGATACATAAAAAATCATTACATATTCTTAATTATTTGATTCTCTAATGCATTTAGCTGTTTACCTCTGCAAGACAAAGAAAGGGATTCATTTAGCAGAATCCCACAGCCCTACATCCTAAGGCTTTCACGTGGCTGAGATTTACTGCAGAAATTAATGATCTTAATGTGACTAAGATGATCCTGATGTAGCCATTATTACCTTTTGATATTTCATTAATTTCTGCATAAACCCAAACAATCTCCCCCTCATCAGCTCATCCAACAATATATACCGACCTGACTAAGATGCCTTTGGTACAAATTTAACAACAGCTCCACTGTAAACCTTTTTTATCCCTTATGAAAATATTGAAATGTGAATTAGAATTAATGTTCTTCAGATTTCAACTTTTAAATCCCTGAAAGCTTAACCTTTATGCACCAAATAAGAATCATACTACCAGAATCTAAACAAAAACCAATTTAATTTTTCTAATATAGTGATTTTTAACAAATGTCTCTCATTTTGATCACCTTAAGCTCAGGAAATGTTAAAAATATCTTACCGAATCTTATCTACACGCCAACTGGTCTTCCTGAAAGTTAGGGGATGTGGCTATCAAAGCTACAACTGCCAATGTCTTCATAAAAGAGCTTCAGGGTGCCAATATGTTCTCAGTTTTGTAGTAAAAAGCAACAAAAACGAACACAGTTTTTCCCATTCTTTATTTACATTTATATAACTATGCTTATAAGTTTTACAATACTTGTGAATCATTCGTTCAACTGACTTGGGAAGAACATAGAAAGGGGTGTTTCTAAATGTGTCTCCAGCACAGATAACACCTGAAATGTGTGCTCAGTAAGGCCCTGCACACACCAGTCTAGCTCTACACAAACACACACATTTATAAATGCAAACACACACATACATTCAAGTCATAATAATTTCTTACAGCGTGTAGATCACCCACAGCTGATGTGCTGTTTAAATAACAGAATATTGCTTTTACACTGACCTTAAATTTAACTCTATAGTTACGAAAAACAAAATTAGTACCAACTTTATTTGCTTTCAGGTGAAAAAAAGTGCATCAGTCACATTCATTTTTACTCTTTGTCACTTGCTGTGACATTGCTATATTTCACATGAATAAAAACTATTTCAAAAATATTGTGGTGACCTGGATGGTTATATGACACACAAACACCGAAGGGAATCTGGCTCACGTATCTGGAAAGTCAAAGAACACGAAATAAGACAAAGAGCTTTACAGCCACACCAGCAGTCCTATGAGATTGATCAATTATAGTTAAACCATAAAACATATTTATGATGAAAAACATATCATTGGTAGGTGGCAGATAATTTTTAAGTCTATTGAGGAAAACACTCATATAACTGTTATTAATCAGTTAACCAAAACAAATATAGCACAAAATATTAAACAGCTAGACTAAAACAACTACAACAGCAATTCTTCCAAAATATCTCATAGGAGCTGAATGGACCAGCAATATTTTAGAATTAATTTTATAGGTCCAAGTTTAACTGGTCAGGCTAAAGAGAAGCATTATTAGAATGTATATGCAATATATTTACCAGCCACTGCATGTCAGAATGGAGCAGATAAGTTACATAAATAAAAAGAGGGAAATTATAAATAAAATATTGCAAATGAAAGCTGTTAAGCAACCGTCCTACTGCGTCATACATAATCACGTATGCTAATAATCTGAACGACACCTGTGATATTGGCCAAACAGTTCCCCCCTTCATGTTGTATGGATGGTAGGATTATTTAGGTAAATTAGCATGTCACTTTATTTCTCCATGTTGTTTTATTTGTTATGATTATTTAAACATTTTTTTGTGCCACATCAAAAGAGAAAAAGGCTACATGGACTTAGAATTTCTCAGAAGGAGATAACTGAGATAATTGTAAATTGTTTTAATTTGAAAGTTAGCGATGCAATTTTTAGATCTGTTTGTGCTTTTTAAAAAAGTGAATAACAATGAGGGTGATATCAAAACTAACAATAAGCACCTACTATGAAATTAGACATATATCCATGCATTTTGCTGCCACATAGTGGTATAATTTAAATATAATAAAGTCAGATCATTTACATACTAAAAACATTCATTTATAGCTATTGTTTTTGCTATGATGATTGATTTATGACATTAACTTAAGTTTTAATCTGTCAGCAAAACTGAAACAGTTTTATATAAATGTAATAAAATTGAGGGAGTGGGCAAAATTGAGGGTATATTCAGAACTTACTTACGCCTTTCTTCTTTTTTTTAAGTAAAAAAAAAGAGTCACTGAGGTAAATTAGAAAGGTTTTATATGACATTTTTAGAGTGTTTAACTGCTAGTGTGGCTGAAAACAGATGGGCCAGCAGTGAAGATACGCGTCTCACTTAGCCCCTCTTTTAGTGACACATACTAAATAACATTCCCGTCCAGCAGCATTTTCAGAGCTAAGAAAAACAACAAGCAAAACCAAAAACAACAACAACAAAACAAAACACATACAAATGTTTAAATACACAGAAGTCTCAAGTTAAAGGAAAATATATGTTATGTGTTGTCATCTCTGTTAAATTATCTTATATAACAGCAAATGTACAGCATTATAAAATAAATAGTTCATTTATAATTTTACATCAGTGCTTTGACAACTTTAATAGAAAAATAAATAAATGTGCAACATGAACTAGAATGTGCTCTATATTAACAGCTGAATGATATCAGTCCGTACAAGAAAAAGGAAACTTCATATCAGTACATTGGTTACAACTTTACCTGTTTAATTGATACTTAATAAGTTTTCTACAAATATACAGCAGACTGCATGTTCGTGCTTGTAATGGTTGTGCCGGGTAGCTGTCTAAGGCTTCCTGGAGCGAATACTGACAGCTGAAAGGTTACTGGTATTTGGGCTTTTATATTGCAGGTGTTTTTGTCTGTTTGTCAGTGTTTTTCTATATTATTCATTATGCTTTTGTCAAAGAGGACGGAAGTTGTGCATTTTTAATTTTGTGCTCATATTTTTGTGTAAGCTGTATAGATGGACATCACTCTACACATGAATCGTCCAGCCTTGAAAAATATGTGTTCTAAAGGCTTAAAATAATACCCAGCTGGTATTGAGGTGAAGATATCTTTTTGTTGCCGTTCTCTAATAGTGCATTTCATTTTAACCTCCCTACTCCTACCGCTGTGTTGGATGTTTATCTGAAAATGATTATGGACATAAGGTGAATGGCTACTTTCATGTATATCCTGACTTAAACCATTACCCTATCTGTCTTCCTTTAATGGGATATTTTCTTCTTTTTCCGATTTTAAAGGATAGGGAAAAGGAGACCATCCTCCTGACGTGATCTGCGGGTGTTTTTAATTTTAGTTTTCACTCCTTTGTTAATCATTATTGTAACTAAGTGTGTTTTGTATTGATTTACTCACTGCAATACATTGAAATCTAAATATGTCAAATGTATTCAAATAAGTGCATTTTTTCCTTAAACTGAGCAGGGAAGTGAGACACTTGCCAATGGAATAAGACCATTTTATATACATTTAAAATGAGAAAAAATAACTGCTGCCTCTTATTTCAAGTGCTTAATATCTTATTATCTTGTTTAAGGGTAAAAATACTAATTCCATTGGCAGATCATTTTATTTACATACTCATATTAAGGGTAAATACACTTACTCTAACAATCTTTTACTAATTTTTTTTTAATTGTTTTTGCAGTTTTCATTTTAACTATTATTTGGTTCTTTCTGGAATTGAGGTTCTTAATTAAATATCACTCCTCTCCCTTTACTTAGTAGATAATTTTATGGTCTTGTTCAGCTATCTGTGTTCATTTGATAGTTTTTATAAGAACTGCCTCACTTTCCTTTTTCAGGTTATTTCCCAGCTGCACTCAGAATTTAGTCCCATCTGGTTCTTATTCCACTCATCAGTGGGTAAAAGCTTGCTGTGCTTTCACATCCACACTAGATTCTACATATTTTAGTATTTTCAGTAAATAACTCGATCACCAGCACCATGAAGTTTCCACAAAGCATGTCTGAACTTGTGTCCAGCTCAAACACAAATCATGACCCAATTGTTATATTAAATTCAATTCTATTTCCAGACCCTTTGACCAACTTGAGCAGACTCAAGAATTTGGTCAATACATCACTGAAGTATACTTTCAAGGGGCAGGGGTTAAGTGTGCAAACCATGTTTGGATCATGACCTGTTGACCTTTGCTGCATATCTTGCCATCCCTCTCAATCCAAGCTGCCTTATTCCAAATAAATAAATAAATAAATAAATAAATAAATAAATAAATAAATAAATAAATAAATAAATAAAAATTTAAATAAAGGCCACTAGTACCAAAACAATCCAGTGTGGCCTAATTTTTTAAATCTTCAAAATATATTTTCTGACAGGCACTTTTTTTCACCACTAAATAAGTGTGCTTATTTTTCACATTTATTTAGTAGGGAAAAAAGACAAGGGAGTGAAATCAAGATGCTACAGCAAAGGTTTAATTCATTTTCGACTCATTACACATCTTTTAGAGTATTGTTTTGGATAATAAAGGTAAATCCTGAGCCCTGAGTTCATAATAATAAAACAGTTGGAATCAGAGAATTGTGCACATGAATTGTAGAAATACGCTTTTGTGCTTTTGTAGCATCAATAAAACAAACTAGAACTCAGACTGGCTCCATATTAGCCTGAGCAGACTGTGCCTTCCATCACACATAATAAAAATAAGCCTTTGTTTCAGTTGGATGATTTTGAAATAAAATGAACAAACATTACTGTTTTAATCCAACCCAACACATCAAGTCTCACATTCTTTACTTAAATTCAAGTTTTTTTTAAATGTTTTTACTCTTTGGTATAGAAACCAAAATGTTCCCCTTCTGCAGAACATTTAACATGAGTTTGATGGAGAATAAAATACTTCCTTAAATCTCCTGTTAAATTCATTTTCCAATCACATCAACTCAGTCGACAGAAATATCAAGTTCACTAGAGAGGATGCAAGAATAAAATGTTGCCCTTTCTGGACTGTGCTGTGAATATTGAGGACAGTGGAAGTCTTAATACTGATGTCTACCGGAAACCTACACATACAGACCAATACCTTCATTTTGACTCACATCACCCACTGGAACATAAACTTTCTGTAATCAGAACTCTGAGTTAGTGGGTTGACAAAATTCCCTCAATTAGAGAGGAGAAATGAAAGGAACAAAAACGTGTTAGGGAATCACTGGAAGCACGTGGTTATCCAAACTGGGCTTCTGTTAAATCAACAAAAACATTTTTTTAGAAACAAAACATACTGGTGAGTTTCACTCAGACAAAAACCGGTTCATCCTAAAGACAAAACACCCAAACCTAAGCTGAGCAGCGTTGTGTATGAGATCCAGTGCAGTATGGACTGTGCAGCCTCTTATATTGGAGAAACCAAACAACAACTACACAATGATAAAGCATAGGAGAGCCAGCAGCTCTGGGCAATATTCAGCTGTACACCTTCACCTAAAGAACAAAGGACACACCTTTGAAGACCAAAGTGTTTAGGCTTTGGACAGAGAGGACAGATGGTTTGAAAGGGGGGTCCTGGAAGCCATCTTTATCAAAAGAGAAAAGCCATCACTGAACAGAGGCGTTTTAGCTTCCAAACATTTACAATTCAGTCATTGAACTGGTCTCAAAGAAATTATATAAGCACTCCAGTCATGATTCAAAAGACCAATCACAGAGCCAGTGCACAACAAAAAGCTCAAATAATCCAGAAGAACAAGGGGTGGTTAATAGATTTGCATCTGACTTGGAATGTGCGCAGGGGGATGGACCACCATGCTGCTTAAATACATCAGCGCTCCAACTAGATATTCCTTTGGTGTGAGCCAAAAGAATAGACAAAGACTCCTGGATAGGTGTCTTCATAAACTGAGTTAAAGTCCAGTTGCCTTCCAATTTAAGCCTGCCATTACCCGGGATGACTGAGAATTTAAACAGGAATCTTAAATCTCCAGGTTGTAAAATCTACAGGATTGTATTACTACACTGTACAGTAATATTTACAGACTAAACAAAGATAGCTACATAAAGTCCTGCAGGGGGTTAACCATGGGTCTGATTGAAACAGTCTTGTGTGTCCCTGGAGCAGCCTTATACGAACATCAGAACCACCTCCATAAAACTAATTACAATATTACTAGATGATTTTTGTTTTCATGTATACTTCATGTTGGGCTTTTGATAGGTTTGTTTTACCCTGTGTATGTATACAACATTGAAAAATCTAGTTACCCTTATATGTTTTTGTAATATCAACGGGATAAAGGCTTAAAGCTGAACTGGTGGAGGACTTCATGTTGATAAGAGAAAGGTTAAGAGTCTGACTCTGGTGTCAGAGGTGTCAGAGGTGTCGTTGGTGTTGTGGGTGTGGTGGGGCTTATTGCTGGATTCTGGTAGCTTGTACCATAGCAGACATTTGGAGACAGACAGTTAGGATCCAACGATTTGTTCCCTGCCGGGGTAACGTAGGGTTTGCGGGCTACACCCGACAATGGAGCATCACCTGGCTTGGCACCGAGGATGAATCTAGCCTCATCCTGCTCCTCTAGGTTGGAGATGTCTTTCATCATGGTTTTACGGTAGGAGACGGACAGCTTGTTGGAGCCGTCTGACATCAAGTTGAAGTGGCGCAGGATGAAGACTATTGGGAGAGGAAGCATGGCCACTACGATGAGAGCGAAGCACATGGCAAGAGCCCAGAGAGGGTAGCTTTGGAAGCGTTCCTGTGCCTGAAGTGAAAGACATATAAGCCTTAAAATTAAAATTAAATACAATTTATTTTTTTGTGCTTGGATTTGAGACTAACACACAGTGATAGATCAGAGAAGCAACCAAAAGGCCTGTTTTAACTCTGGACCAGCTGCAGAAATGTAAAGCTCAACAGACTAAATATTAGTTATGCATAGCACAAATCATAACAAACATCTTAGAAGTTGCTTTGCACAAAAAAGACCAAACCTAACCTTTTTTGATTAAATGCAAAATGTTATGTGGAGAAAACTAATGCAGCATATCACCCTGAACATAATAAACTCAACCATTTAGCACACTGCTCTTGACTGGTTTAGGTCCCATCTGGCTGATTGATCTTTCTGTGTTAACATTTAACACACAAAATCTTTTGCACCCCTTTAGCATGTGGGGTCCCAGAAAATATGTAATTACTTTCCATTTCTACGCTGACAATTGTCTGATCTATTTGCCCCTAAAGCAAGAGGAGGGCCTTCTCATGATTATTTTGAAGACTGTAAAGCTTGGCTAGCCCTGAACCTTTTGAATTTTAACCATAAGAAAACTGAGGTGATAGTTTTCAGAACAAGTCGCTCCTGAGCCCCAGGGTCGATAGGACTCCTTCTTCAGCTTGACATCATCCATTGCAGCCCAAGTCCACGACCGTATTCGGGGATTGCCGCCATGACAGACATTATAGCCATAGCTATAGGTGGCTGCATCGACAATGGAGGCAAAGAACATGGCCCATTCCGACTGCATGTCTCCAGCCTTCTCAGGAAGAGAAGCTCTTTTTGACGAGGGAGTTGAACATATCACTGACAGAGGGCTCTAGCAGAGGTTCCCAGCAGACCCTATCTACTCTCTTTAGCCTGTCCAGCTTCATCTTCTTCCAGCGTATGCAGCTCACCACCAGGTGGTTCAAGAGCTGACAGGTTTGGCCTAGAGTGTCCTGGTACCAAGTGCACTGCTGGGCATCCTTATGCTTAAAGAAGGTTGTTCGTTATGGACAGTCTGTGACTTGCACATGACTTGCAAATCCAATAATGAAACACTGGGGGATCTTTCCTCCTGACCACGTCCCTTTAAGTGTCACCGCCACTCCCACTCTGCAATTCCCAGAGGGACCATTTCTAACAAACTCCTTATTTTACGGAGATATTATAATTATTTAATTACTTAATAAATAACTTCATGTTAACTGCTGAATGACAACATGTATTCAGCTAAATGGTCACAAATCCATCAAAGCCAAGGAGGCGGGACTAGGGCTGCTTCCCTAGGAACCCTTGTGTCTGATTGGCTGCTTCTCACTTACAAAGATAAGTCAACTTAATCCTGGTTTTCATTGGGTCTAAAGTCAATATTATTACTAGAAAGGGGGGAAATTGCTTCAAAAATGTGTTGCAATTGATTTTACAGCACATTGGGTGAGCAACTCCACCCTCTATATCCCTACTTGTGTCTGAAAGATGTCTAATAAACTTGCAAGTGAGCATGCTGTGGTCTAGTATGGTGGAAGCTGCCAGAGGCTTCAGCAGAACCAAAGTTAACCTCACCTAATGACTAAAGCCAGCTCAAACCTTCTCAATCATTTTTTGGATAGACTCTGGAGCTGCTCACCCAGTGTGCTGTAAACAAATGTCAACACGTTTAAGAACACTATTTCATACTTTTCTAGTAAAAATGTTGACTTCAAAGTAGAAATAAAACCAGGAAGAACTTGTCTTATCTCTCTCAGCGAGAAGCAGCCATCAGTTTCTATCAAAGCAGACCTAGTGCCACCTCATTGGCTTTGATGGATTTGTGACAGTTTATATAAAATTATAGTATGCTTCCTTGATGCATACTAGTCTAAAGCTGATTTAGAAATGCAGCTGGAACCTTACAAGTAGTAATATTCTAACTGTAGGTGGGCTCAGGACCATTATACACAATCAAAAAGGACAAAGGTTCTTTATAAACCAGTCTCCAAAAAGCCTTTTGCTTTATCCTTGAACAGTTTTCTTTGGTTGGTAATATCAGAGCTAACAGAAACGTATGTAAACCTACCAGCTCTTGAACCCATGCATTGTATCCCGGTGGGCTGATGGCCATCTCTATGACAGTGGTTGAGATGAGAACGATGAGACAAATAGGGGAGACATACTTCCACATATAGAAATACATTATAGATGGTCGAAAACCCAACATGTCCTCCAGGTCTTGCATGAACCTGACAAGAATATGACAGCAACAATAGGACAAAACAAGAGAAATGAGTGTTAGAGCCGCTTCTGCGATGGCTTGAGAAACATTATGATTCCACATTTTTTACTTAATAACTGCATTTATATTGGATGTTTTATAAGCTGCATATAAGTCTAGGTGTTTATGCAATTAAAATCTGTAAAATTTTGAATTTATTAAGCCATTTAAATCTTTTTTGTTGCAGTTACTGCTCTAAGTCTTATGGGTATGTCTCTACCAGTTTAACTCAGTGATATATTTTTTATTCTTCTTTGTGGAATTGCTTTAGGTCACTCAGATTGAATTAGCCTTGCTTAATATTTAAAGCTGGGTTTAGGTCTAGACTTTGACTAGGCCATTCCAACAAAAAAACAAGATGTCCAACCACACTACATAGGATGGAAATGACACTCAAAACAAGTTATCTGTTCATGCACCAAGATCATTTCACTTAAAAAATTTTTTTGAATTAAGATTATATTACATTGAGTTGGCAATATAAGTAATTAAGCCTTAACACGATATATATTATCCAATACTTCTAAATCTAAGTTGTTGTTTTCTGTCCTGGTAAGAATCCATAGTCTGCATTAATCTGTGCCTAAAACTCAACTAAAAGTGTTTTCCTCAGGATTGTCCTATGTTTAACTCCATCAAACTTGGATTTTCTTTAAATGTATCTAAGTTAGCAATTATTGCACTTTTCAGAGCTGTATTTCTAAAAAATATAACAAAAAAACAACACAGATTAATGGCATATTGTCTCACACAATTATTTCAGATAAAATCCCAATCAAATAGAATGAATTTTGATTCAATGACAGACTGTAAGATGATAAGAGTGTTTCAGGACATTTGCAAAGGATTTTTTCTAACAACACTCTCACAGAATTACCTTTTAGTGCCATATATCCAAGCAACCGAGACATTTTCCAGGATCACTACCACAGTTAGGGGAAGACCAGCAGAGTAATCGTCAAACATTGTGACAAAATAGTTTCCTGAACGTTGAACAAATAAAAGCCCACATAGGAAGGCCACGATGCAGCAGCACACTGAGAAAACACACAGACAGGAAGAAACATTAGAGCTAGAAATATGGAAAAAGTTCAACATTATTCCCTAACCCATTACTGGTTCTAAATCCTGCTAATGCTTTTGCATTCAATACACTTGCCGCACCGGTACGAAGCTTAATGCAGGCTATTTCTGGATGTATTTTAATAAGTGCTGAGTAAAGAGTACGTGAGGAGCTGGGACAGGAAATTGGTGATGAGAGGTGGGAGTACCTGTCAAAAGCTCTTTCTGAACTTTGTAGGCGTCAAGGACGGGTGTGGTGATGCCAGTCATGGTGCCAATCATGCTGCCCAAGCCAAGATTGATTAGCATGAAAAAGAACATTACAGACCAGAATGGGGATGCTGGGAAATGGGTCATGGCCTCTGTGAAGGCGATGAAGGCCAGGCCAGTGCCCTGAACTGCCTACAGAGAGACGATCCAGGCTGTGAGAGGAGGTACATGCTGTTAACCCAGCTGATTTTGCATGTGGCATAAGTATATACCTTATTGAGTTCATCCTCCAGGACACAGGGCTCCAGACCCAACTGGCCAAAGCTGTCCTCTTTTACTGTCTTGATAACACTGTACACCTCAGCGTAGTCTGATGGGGTGAGATGGGAGAAGTTCACATGAGGAGGGATGAGATCGTGACTCAAGACGTTGGAGTTGAGGTATCCAAGGATCTTTTCTCCATTTCTACAGACATAAAAGAGCAGGATGAATATAAAACAAACATACAGCTATTCAAATATATTAGTCAAGCCAAATAAATAAAATAAAAAGTACATAAAGACAATAATAATATTAAGCTCCCAATTACATTGACTCAGTGGTCTGCTATGTAATTACCCGCATCTACTACGATCCTTGGGTTTAGCATTCATACCAAATAGATAATCGGCAGTAAATGTATAACAATTTATCAAAAAAAAATAGCCCATACTGCACCAGTGGTCCGAAAAAAACATTACCTAAGTCAAAACTAAAAGGAAGGACCATTTGAAGTTTATCTTTTGATTCTCCTCAGATCATTGCTTCACTTCAAAAGGCTGAACATGTTTCTGGGGATGATGCAATGCTGCCAAATGAAGCATCTTCCTAAAGCAGCCATAAAACCCTTTACTTCTTTAAAAACATCTCTAATATAACTGTAATTTTTACAACCAAACAACCATTTTACATGTGAACTAAAGATTAAAATACACCAAAGCTAACATATATGTATAAGAATAATCATATTTGCAAGGAAATAGCTTTAAATATGCCTACTTTGGGACATTTAATTCAAATGATTCATTAATTTCTTTGAAAAGCAGTGTGTCAAATCTAGAAACCATTTAAAAATGCAGGAAAGAAAAGTATTTTAAGTAATAGCTTACTCTATATGTATACATAACCACAATATAGGTTGATATTAGAGCAATTTAAGTGTATGCCTAATCTGGAAAAATGTTCTAGCGTACAACCCATATTTGAAATTTACATGCAGAAAACAGAAGGTTTAAGTACTTATATTTTTATAGCATTTACATCATGATGTAAAACATGTCTTTTTAAACTTAAAAATTCTAACTTACTTAAACAAACACTTTGAGGTAATTGGTTTCCACAAAATCTGGAGTATTCAGAACTATTTGGTTTACAGTGTTGGTATCATATTGGCACATTGCAGCTTTATTTTGTTGTAATGATATACAGAAAATTGTCCATTACTGGTTAGGGGTTTTAAGCTGTATTTGGACAAATGTTCTTGAACATTTTACAAAAAAACTGTAGCATAAACCCCCCCCCCCCCACCAAAAAAAAACGTGTTGAACTCACTCAACAACACACTTTTCATTCATGATGTTGGCCTTGAAGCCCAGCACAGCAAACACCACCAGCGTTGCCAAAATTGAAGTTAAAAAATTTATGACGGATACGAGGACGGCGTCAAAGTGGCAGTTGTTGTCTATTTTGTTGTAACTGGAGAATGCAATGACGCCTCCAAAACCCAGACCCAGAGCGAAGAAGACTTGAGTGGCTGCTTCCCTCCAAACCTGCGGCTCTAGCATCTTCTCCAGCTAAAGAAAGGAGGGATGGTTTATTAGGAGCTATTAAACTGGAGGGTAGTTTCTGAGGATAAAATATTTAATCCAGCTCACCTTTGGAGTAAACATATGAGCGATCCCGTCGACCGATCCTTTCAGCATTAAACCTCTGACCAGGAAGCATACGAGCACCACGTAAGGGAAAAGGGAGCTGAAGTACATCACCTGCAGGGATGAAAAAAAGGTGTTTTCAGAAATAGAAAAACCTTAAATATTTTTCGAAAAATTGCCCATACCTTCCCAGATGAGGCAATCCCTTTAATGACAGCAAGGCAGACAATTATCCAGGCCACTAGCAGAGATAAGGTCATTTTGATGTTGAGACCACCACTCTCTGCAATGGTGCTGGTTGTGTTCAGAGTCTGCCGGTACCAGAAATATGTTGTTGCAGAGCTTTTATCGCACTCTGGCTCCACAACTGGATGCAAACAGAGGAAAATGAAAAGTTAGGAAGGCGAATAAGGAAAAGAAACAAAGGGTGAGAAGATATAGGAGGTACACTTTGATTTAATTCTGAGGAGGAGAGCTGAGGAGGGCATGGAAATCTGAAAAACGATTGTAACTGTGTATGTTTGCTCACGTTTCCAATTTACCCTCTTGTATAGTTTACACATATCAGACGCCTGAGAGCTATACAAGGTCATCTGCAGCTTAATATGCAAAGCATGAACCTCCAGTTCACACCAACATAGGGGATTGTTTTCATTCTTCACACATTATATTCTCTTGGATACAGTATTGTTTTTGACAGCCATCTTAGATTTAGTCTCAGTCTTCAGGGCAAAAACTATTATTAGTCTTAATCTCATTTTAGTCATTGCCATATGTGATAGTTTTAGTTGGTTTTATTCGACTTAAACTTAAAAAGGTTTTAGTCTAGTTTTATTTAGTTTTATGTTGCAAAATTAAGTTAACCTTTACCAGACAGCGACTCTAGCCTAGATACTACAATAGCTGGGTATAGAATGCTGCCATGCAGTTCATCATTATTGTTGGTCAGACAACTTTGATTTATAGAATTCAAATAAACTTTTTATGAATTAATTCCCCAGTTTATAAACAAGTGCAGCACAAAAGCTGTGAAAATAGCAGATCTAGTTCAACACATACTATTTGATTAATATAGCAGACAGACAAGCAAACAAAATGTACAATAAAGGAATGGTTTTAGACATACAAGGTTTCCATTGAAAAGCAAATACTTCCTGATCTACTATGATTAATGTATTACACAGAGATCAATAAAATATTCATTGCCCCAAAAAGAAAAAAATACATTCTTCTTTCTACTTTGGCAATTCTGGCTTTATTTCTGATAATTTACCCCTTAGATACTGTTGCTCAGGGGTCAAAATAGATTTAAATTCACAGAGAGCACCTACATAATTGCCTTGTAATGCCATGGCAATCCAGATGTAAATTGAATGAATATGCTCACTAAAATGTTGAAATATTCAAAGGAAACAGAGAAAATGTTTTAATGACATTACAAGGGAACATTTACATCATATTTAAATAGATAGAAATGAGAACAATGAGAAAGAAATATTCAAAGATCTATGTACCTTTTCATCAAATAAACAGTATGCAATGAAATATTTTATTTGGATATAATTTAGGGATTCCTTTTGGTAGAAATTAAAGAATGTTTAGTGTCACCTCTTGTGAGCTGGAAGAAATAAAATCTTAATATTTAGGAAAAGAATTTTTTACGCTTGGCAGACGATGATCAGACAAATAGTTTATTAATTAGTGAGAGCAGGAAGAGCCATACTGCTGAGAGCAAGACACAGCATCACGGTTGATACTGCTTAAATTGTCTAAAAGATTACAGCCAAATGATGCATTTTACATATCTGATAAACTAACCGCTACTTTTTATTTAGTCTCGTCTCGTTGACAAAACGCAAACCTATGACTAGTTATGTTTTAGTCATCAAACATCCCATTTTAGCTCGTCAGTTTTCGTTGTGGTTATGAAAAAAGGAGCTTCAATAAAATTATTTCATCATCGTCATCGTTGACGAAAACAACACTGCATAAATGAAAGTGTTCCTTGGCTTATAATTGTACAATACAGTTGGAGTTTATCTACCAAAATGTGTCCTTTACAATTTGGTATAGTACACTTTAAACTTTATCTCTAAGATCATGTTTATTGCATATTTTATTCATATATATCATTTATATATATATATAAAATTGCACAAAAATCTCCTGGAGGTTAAGGAACAGGATGAAATGATGTTACATGAAAGTGTCTCATGTGTGGTTTAATGTAAGATTTTATGTCACTTACTGGCAATTGTCCCATTCTTTCTAATTGGACAGTCACTCCATGGCAGAGGATACTGGAAGGACTGGAAAAAGTAGAAGATACTCCAACCAATGATGACGTTGTAGTAGAGACCCACAAAGCCACATACCTATAGATAGATAGGTAGATAGATAGATAGATAGATAGATAGATAGATAGATAGATAGATAGATAGGTAGATAGATAGATAGATAGATAGATAGATATTCAGTTTTGCCCTGCAGAAAAACATCTGTTTAATGCAAGGCCTGCATTCTAATGAGGCAGGGTATTTTGTGAATGTCCCATGCTGCTGCCAGTCTTCCTTGCAGTCTTTCCAACAAGGACATCCAGACTCCAAATAAGGTTGAAGCAAGCATGAATAATTAAAGTATTTTCTTTTCAGCTGTGATCTTCTCTGTGGTATTTATAGAGCTACTTCTCTGCCAGTCGTGCAGCTTTGAATAAAGGCTGCCTTGCATTCTCAAACACATAAATGAAAAACCACATCTGAAAGATTCACACGTGTACAAACACATGCAGAATATGCATGCGGCTACCGTTGGCTTTGTCTTGAATACCTGTGCAAGGTGTTGGTATTCTGTCTGCTGGATTTATGTTTCAATTACCTGGAGTCTTTTTATTTCATTCGAGTAGCTTGTCAGGAATTCACTGGTTTGCTTACTGTTTTAATCAAGCAGAGACTTGTAAAGTTATTGATATTACACAAATTTCTTTACGTAATTTGATTCATGGTTGTGGATTCACTGCATCAATTCACTGTGATACCAGTACATCTTTATTCAAGCAACCCATTAAAACCCATTAACAGTTACTCTTAATATCCTAACTGATGCTTAAAGAGCGAGATTTAGCTCTTTTCTAAATTTGTTTAAACATCCAGTCACAAGAAGACTTCATGCAGAGTTTAAATTTTAAAAATTACTTTCAGTTGCAGAATAATAGATTTGGGCTTCTTTTTTAACTGCTCTATAATCCTTCCAGGACTGATGGCATAGCTGTTTGCTCCAGATAAGCAAACAGCTGAAACTTCAGCTTTTACTGAGCTGCTCCCACATGCGGCTGATCTCTAATTAAGGGATTTCAATTGCAGTGCACTGACCCTTGTAGGTTTTTTTCTGCTTAGTTTGAGTTTTTTTCTTCAGTTCTGCACGGCTGGATACTGTGATAGGGAACACCTGGGGAACTGGTGAGTCCCCTCAAATGTCAAAGATGAACTCTCAGCTAGCTGCTCTTTACTGCTTAAAAATCTTTTACATCATTTTAGGTTTTTTTCTATGCATCTGTACGTTTTTTGTTGTTGTTTATTTTTAGATTAACCTGCGAAGATTCTCAGTGACTTGCCTGAATGAAAGCACTTATAGGTATATCAATAAAGGCACACCTTGAGCACACTCCTAGTACAATATTGATAAAAGAAATTAGCCCAAGTATCTAAAAGGGAATGGTCATTTCGCGCTTGCCCACAGTTTCCAGATGCCAAATAAAGCCAATTTTATCCCAAGTATAATAGGGATTGGAAAGGAGATGACTTCCACAGAGGAATATGGTTTGGTGCATCATACAAATAAAACCTGAAGCTGAGGTTGGTACTGTGAGAGTCTCGTTATAAACAACAACGCTATCTCAGCAAAGATTTGGGCTGAAAAACTACCAAGCATGGAAAAAAAATAACTTCTAAATCAATAAAAAAAAAAAAAAAAGTCTCCAAATACGCACTGGGACACATACACTTTTTAAAGGAACTTTGTTCTGTGGACTGAGAAAACTAAAACTGAAGTTTGGGAAATAAGATAAGGATGCTCTGATATCAGTCCTGCTTTTAACTAAACAAAAGAAATTTGTTTGAATTCTTGATTCTATTCAGTTGAATTGAATTTAATTTAATTGCATGAAGTAAAGCTGATTAAATCCAGCGGTCAAATATCAAACAGTTCAACAACATCAAACAGGCGGTTAAATCTTTAGATGATATATTAAAAAGAGTGAAAGAAGCTTCCAATTATTGCACTAAAGTTTGTTTACGTTTTTTGCAAAATAAGTAATCACAATATACCATGTAATATGCTGTTGCTTATCTTACTTAATTTCCAAAGAACAAAGTATTAGGTTATGCTACTGCAAAAAGCCTGCAGAGCAGTCATCTTTCTTTTTAGCTGACTGTGGGTATTACTTGTGTAGGAAATGGGCATGTTCATTTATCAAACAGACAGAGCTTTCTCCTGTTATAGTTTCCATGTTGAACATCTAGTATTTTGTTTCTCTGTAGGATCTGAGAGCTGTGCTCATTAACATTAGCAACCTCAGAATGGAGATAATTTCTGATAAAAGGGATAATTAGCAGAGGTACCATCAGACTTGACATCCCTATTCCACCCAGCCGGGGACAGACGTAATTCCAAACTCCGATACTCCCACGTCTGATCTTCTGACCCACAGCCAGCTCCAGGAAGAAGAGCGGGATACCGATGATGAGGAGGAGGATGAAATAAGGAACCAAATATGCACCTGAAAAAGAAAATGAGAGAATTATGAGTTGCAGAAGAGAACATACTCATTGCTTTCCTGGTTTGCTTGAATTAATGAAGTTTACAGATTTTTGAGGCGCTTCTCTGGCTGCCATTTTGGCCAATTAACCATTCAGTAAAAACAGAACTGTCAGGTGGAAAAGGCCTGTTTTTGATATGATAGTAGGAGCATCTTAACCCTTGGTTTAGTTTGACAGTTTTCTTTTATAATTTGATGCTAAAGTTACAATATTTGCTAAAACATTTTCTTGACTTTCATGTTTAGTTTGATTCAACATTTCTCTGCTTTCTTCCATTCTGTTATTATATTTACTGTACATGTTGTTTTGCACCTGACTCCTAAACAAACAAGGGAATTTAAACAGGCCAAAGAATGGGGATGTTGCTGCTAATCCAAATGAGAAAACAAGATTTTTCTAGTTGAAAGGATTCAGATTTCATATTTTGACACACCACTAGTAAACTTTTTTTTTTTTTTTACTAATATGAATTGTATGGTCCTGTTTTGTTTGTTGAAGAAAAAGTAAAAACAAAGTATATCTGTCACAGTACAGTAAGCCGTGCCTTAAAGGTATAGTGGAGGATGTTCTTTTTCTGCGTGCATCATCAAAATAAGTGGTCACCATTCTGGTGATATTTCACGTAAGGCCGTCCCCATTTTCACCTACAGGTGGTGAGTCTGACGTAGTGGAATAATTGCATATCTTATTTTGGAAAGTAAGCTTGTATGAGGGATGCAAACAGCAACTTTTAAACAGAGCGTGCACGAGGAGAAATGGGCTTGTGCATGCTCTCACACTCGTTTAATAGACTTTCCCTCTCGGGAGGGGGTACAGGGTTGTGCATGTGCATTTTTTTTAAGTGGAGAGGGCGGGTCTTTTCAAAAATTTGTGAGAATCCTCCACTTTATCTTTAAAGAAAACACACCTTCCAATTCAGTGGTTTGATATAAAACAACATACATAACAACAAGCATAACCTGATGAACATTGAAAGGTAATGTGTATAGCACTGATCATGTCTTTGTTGTGGCACCTGTTAGCAGGTTGCATATGCTTGGAGCAGTTGGATAAGTATCAGGATTGAATAATGCATGTGTGGTTCTCAAAAGTTGTCCTTAGTTGGAAAAGTAATAAAAAAGTTAACATCAAATCCAAGATGATAGATTTTCTCTAATATCAGTTCAACTTTGATAATGTTCACATTCTGACTTAATCCAACAGGATATCATACTTTTTCCCCCAGGGTTTATCCGGGATATTAAAGCTTAAAGTGGGCAAAAGTGTGCTATTAATACATCAAAAGCAAAATATGCATCTGCTGACACACATAACTCTTGGAGGGCGATGTTTAAAGACAAGAAGAAAGAAAAACCAGGATCTTTAATCCTCTTCAGTTGATCACACTTCATCACATTGAATTTAGGATAGGGCTGCCTCCTACAGATAATGATTTATAAAGCAATACAAGTCAAGCATGAAGACAAAAAATGGGTGATATTTTGAAAAAGGAAAGCATGACCAGACCAGGGATGGACTCAAAAAGCGATAACTCTAAGGCAAACTGCTCTTTAATGTGTTAGTAATTGGCTCCCAGAGAGTAAATTACACGTGAAAAATGGCTGCAGTCCAAGACTCTCAAACAGACCAGTCGGGGGGAACTGCAGGAAATAAATTGAGCCTATAGGCAATAAACTGCTTGTAGACATAGTTAATCAGGCATAGGTAGCAGAGCTTAAAATGGCAGAATGATAGGAACATCAGCTGGCTGGTTTATCGTAACAAGATGTTTCTTCTGATAGTAAAAGTACATCATTCATGCCGTCCATTACATGTATGCAACCCTTGCAAAAATAAGGCCTCATCCCTATAAAGTTACACCGATACATTTCCTCCAGCTTCTGTCTGTTTACAGGAGCCTAGGTTCAGTTCGGTCTGGCCTGCTAGTTGTAGTAATCAATAGTGAGGCTATATTTAGACTTTTCAACACAATACAGCTGCTCTCTTGGTAATTCTGTTCTGAATGAGAGAGATGTGCAGCTTTTGATGGCTGTGCTCTGAGGACTGCTAAGGGGAACTGCTGAAGGACTTTTTTCAGCTTGACAGACGAACAAAGTAGCTGGTAGCGTATCCATCCTTTAGAAACCCAAACAAACAGCATAAAGACACAGAAATTTGCTGTTGGTGGGATTGCCTCATTTGATTTATGCATAGATTAAAGAATAGCTAACATCTACCTAAACCAACATTACTGTTTTTCTCAGTTGTTTTGGGGGTATTTTTCAGTTCACTATTTAAATATGTATAACTCTTAATGTAGATTTTAAAACACTTAGTACAAACTAAGGTTTATAACCTGCAAAAATGTCTCCCTTGCACAGAATTCAGTTCCATTCAATGCAATTTAAAAATAACGATTATCCCAAAGGGAAATTAAATGTCACAGAATATGTCAGTGTCATCAAATGAAAAGTGCTGACACCGTTTTGTCATGTTTTCATTATGACCTTTTATACTGCAGTTGTTTTCTAATGCAAAAAGGTCAGAGCTTGGTGTTAAATGAATATACTCTAGACAGCGCTGTATTCTCTTTGATGCTATATGAAGCTAGAAATTACTGTATTTATCATTTTATGTAACTGCGTACAAGATACTTAATAATTGTGTTTTTATATTTTTATTTTTGCAATTGCTTTGATACATTTCTTCATACAGAAATGTGATTTGCAAATCAGGTCGCAGAAATTCCAAACAGGATTTCAGGTTCTCTAAAGAAAGGCTTTCCTTGGCAAAATGTTGTTCTGCAAAACAAAACTCCTAAATTATCCCTCAGAACAAGTTTTTATTTTATTTTATTTTTTTTTTATCAAAACAACCAAACTCTGATCAGGAGACTAAATGCTCAGCTTCATTAATATCACACAGCAGCTCTGCTCTGAGGAACTGCTGTTCTCACAGATTTAGTGCTGTGAGCATTTAGGGGTCATACTTTACACTAATGAATGAACAGATTGTTGATGTTTTTGCTGCCAGAATCTTGACCGCTTTTATATTGAAACTGAACAATATGGCCTAGATTAAATATTTGAATATAAATATAGCATTACATTTGCATTTTATTTGTTTACTTTATTTTATTTTGTACTGGACCTTTTATTTTTACACAAGTCCTTGGTTACTATGATGTGCTGAAAACCTCAAGTGGTGTATAAACTCTAATTTGTCAACTGTTTAAAAAAAAATTACAGTAGAACAATTTGACATAAAAAAATCAACTAAACTAAATGTAACTGAGCTGAACCGGATAAAAATGTATTAAGTTAGACTGACCTAAACAAAACTCAACAGAACAAAGAATGATAATGAACCAAACTGACTTTTAATGGATTTTGTTTGAAATAAGTTAAGCTAAACAAATTTAAATTTGATTAAACTGAGTAAAATAATAAAGAACTGAAAATAGTAAAGAATTGTAAATAAATGTATTAAAATAACCTGAACTGAATTTTACTGAATTCCAAAGAATTAGATTGATCGATTATTTGCTCATGGAACATTTTCCTGCTCACCTCCTCCGTTCTTTTGGCAAAGGTATGGGAAGCGCCAGACATTTCCGAGGCCCACAGAGAAGCCCACCTGGGCCAGGATGTACTGCAGCTTGCTGTTCCACGCTGGCCGGCCATCATTCTCAGGCACTTCTATCCCAGGGACCTTCTTTCCCACAGCTGCTCCCACATTCAGGGAGCTGCTCTTATAATCAAGAGGCTCCTCGTGGGCGAGCAGGTCAGCCACAGACTCTGTGACATGTTCATGGCTCTGCTCACGCTGTATCACCTTGCTGTTCTTAGGCATCAGGGAGGCTGGGGGTCTGGGGAGGGGGAGGGGATGGAGAGAGAGACAAAAACGAAGGATAGAGAGGCAGAAACTAGGAGGGGGAGAACAATTACTGACAGAAGAGGAGCGAGGAGAAGAGATGAAAGATGCAGCTATGAAGAGGATCCTGAAGACCAGCAGCTGGACCCCACTTCTTGAATTTAGTTCTGCATTCAGAAAAAACAAAAACTTCAAATCAAAACTAGCAATAAATCAAACAATCTACAGCAGAAAAAAAAAAAAATCATTTTTTTTACATTTTAATTTTTTTGCAAAACGATTTCAAGTATGAACTTTACTTTTATGTTTATTTCACCTTAAGGCTTCCTTTAAAGAGCACTTCAAGTCTGAAGAGTTGTGAAAACATTATATGAACTGATTTCATCAAGATTCTTCCTTTCTTATGTAACATTTTTTTTCTCCTAAAGTTTCCAATCCTGAAAATTGTTCAGTTTTATTTCCCTGCTTTGGGAAGCTTAGCTTCAGCGATGCTTTTTTTTCTCCCTGCAAATCCTCTAATCCTCTAAAGCACTGCAGTAACATCCATCCCGACCCCTTTTTAAGGGAACAGTTGCTTTCATACAAATGTTTGGAGGAGGTAAACATGATGCGTTGGATGCAGAAGCATCGCATGTGTTTTCCTGACCCACATCGCATGCCCCTCTGTCTAATTCCTTTTTTTTGATAAGCTTCTTCTCTGTTTAAAAAGGAACAAATCTGGCACAAAACTGCAAACATGGGGATGTTTCATCAAAAGAAAAAATGAAGATAAATATATATTGACATGGACTTAAAGACTGATTCTGCACCTAACATGTCAACAATACCCACTGACCTCGTGTTAATCAACATAGAGTTTTAACAGAACACACAGCGGATGATCTATTTTTAATATTCAACATTAAAGTGAATGCTTGATAAATCTTTGAATGTGTTTTAGGTTATTCATTCAGTGAAGGATAACCCAGCAAAGGTCTGAATTTGCTTCAATTAGTAACAAGTAGTTTAATCCAGTTTATATCTAGCTTAATGTATTTAAATTTTCAACTTATAAACTTAATTAAATTAAATGTATGTATGTAGTACTTATAAACTTAATTAAATTAAATGTATGTATGTAGTACATGTATGTATGTAGATGCATATATTTACATATATATGTTTGTGTATATATATGTATATAATTGTGTATTGGATAAAAAAATATAGAAGTTTAACAGGAAGGTTAATCTAATTAAGTTAATTTAAGTGCAATTATAGGGAGAGGGAGTATGAAAAATAAATTTTACTTCTTCATCCTTTTCAGACAATTTACATTAATTAATGTCATTTCTCTGGCTGTATATACCGACAGGTTTATTTGGTGGAGGGTTTTGTTTCTATTAAGTTCAGGTGAATTTAGTCAGTTTGGAAATTACTGTAGGGTTTGATTTGGTTGATGTTAACTAGTCTCTTTTGTGTGTATTTGGTTGATTCATTTATTGTTGTTTTGTCAAATTGTCTGAAATAAATTCCTAATAATATTCATTCATTCATTCATTCATTCATTCATTCATTCATTCATTCATTCATTCATTCATTTATTCATTCATTCAAATACTCTTTCAATTGGGCAAACTTAGTTAAATTACTTGCTATCAACTGAAGTGATGCATTTTATTTTTATAATTTAGACAAACACAATCTAGAATTCTTTGATTGAAATGTAGAAATGATCGTATGATTTAGCATCATTGGCAAAAGTGTTTCTCAGCAATATTTGTAACAGTAGCAGAAACCTATTCTTAATGAGTGAGTGTAGAAATGAGAAAACAGTAGACTTTAACTGATTAAAAATCCTATCTCCTCCTGTGACGTTCCTGATAGTTTCCCCTCTAGGAAGCAACAAATAACGCCTACAACATATAAGTTCTTCAATAAAATAACAAGCTAATAAGTTAAAACAACGCAAAATAGAAATAAATAATACATTTTATGATGGTCCTAACTCAACAAACTTTTTGATCTGTAACTTTATGGAGGGTGACGAGTGTTACAACACAATAAATAAATGACTAAATAAATATCTATTTAAATCTGTCATCAATTATTTAAAACTGGAAATAAATACAGATTTTTTTAAAACAACACAAGTATATAAATGATATCTGCCTCAATTAAATATATTGTTTTAATTTTATAAACATAAGTAATTCAGTATTCAATAAATTATTTCCCATTACTACGCTGAAGCACATCATTAATTAATTTAAACTGTCACATGTTCATCAAAGTGGAGGAGGAGGGACTAGGGCCACTTATAAAAAAACTCTGACGTATGATTGGCTGCTTCTCACTAATAATATTAATCTTTTAGATACCAAGCTACAGATATAGAGGGTGGAACTGTATTTGCAGCACCCAATGTGTTGCACATAAATGGCATCACATTCAAGAACAGTATTTACATCTCTTCCAGCAAAGAAAATTGGATTTAGAGTAAAAGAAAATCAGAAAGAAGTTGTCTTATCCCTCTCAGTGAAAAGCAGTCTATCAGATGTTAGGATTGCCACGGAGGTGGGGTACACCCTGGACAGGTCACCAGTACATCGCAGTGCAACACAGAGACAAACAGGAAAAAACAACCATTCACACACACACTCACACCTAAGGAGAATTTAGAGAAACCAATTAACCTAACAGTTATGTTTTTGGACTGTGGGAGGAAGCCGGAGTACCCAGAGAGAACCCATGCATGCTCAGGGAGAAAATGCAGGAATCGAACCGGGGTATATAGTTAACATCGTTAACTATATATTTATTAGATACATTCTGTACTTATTCCAAGTTTTAATAAATTAAAGACACATTTAAACAATTATTTCCCAACTAATTTATTTGCTGTATTGTGGCACTTGTCAGTCTTTATATAATTGTAACCATTTACCCTATTGTGGAAAAGGCAAGTTATTTATTTTTCGTTGATATTTTAATTCATTCATTTTATTTTTTTGTTGAGTTTGTTAGAATGATTCTACATTTATTAAACATTTATTTATTTATTTTTAGTCGTTGATCATTCAGATCAAGATAGTAAAAAGTCTGTACAGAGATTAATTTCAACCATTTTTAATTTTCAGCTTCACAACCATATTTGGGGCTAATCACCTGAATAAGTCAACAGGAGGAAGGAAAACGAGGCAGTAGCTTTACTTTCTGGACCTGGATTATCAATCTCTGTTTAATCTTAATATGGCTTCTCTCCTCTTCTTCCATATGTTAAAAGAAAGACCTGAAATATCCCACAAACTTTCTCAACCAAAAAGGAAGCTACATATGTACAATAAGTTATTCTTTAGAAAAACAGATTTCCCTTTCCCCATGAGAAGATGAGCTGCTGATGTAATAATCCACTAGCCAGTAATCCTGTGTGCATTAACTATAAATCCCCTCCTCCCCTGTGCTGCTTCTCTGACTTGTCACTTATTCTCACTCTACAGTATGCAAGATCGTAATATGAGCCACTGCTGGATCATCCTGCCAGCTCCAGGAACACATCACACAGAAGCAGTAATCCTGCTGGAAAATAAAACAAATCGACCCAGAGAGTAGATGAACTCAGCTAATGATGGAAGTTGATGCCTTTGAGCCTTACAGGAAAAAATGCCTGCTTATTGTTCCCCTTTTTGATAGGGTTAGGGTTAGCTTTTTAAATAGTTTTGGTGTTTTTCAGGCTAAAGCCACAAACTTGAGTGTATGTAATTGATATGTGGAAGGAAAATTATACGGTTTTCCAACCTTTTCATGATTTAAGCTAAACTCTTGTACGTTTCCTTATGATAGTTGAACCTTTTTAAGCCTTGCAGCCTCCAAGTTTTTTTTCCCAACATTACCTATGTATTATAGTCATAAATTAGGACCTCAGAGTAGAACATTTCAACAGAAACGGCCCAGAAGGTCAGAACTCTTGAGCAGAAAAGTTGGGGCAACAGGACCATAACTGACTTCTGCATTCAAAATGAATGCTACTCACACCAACAGTAGTCAAGCTTCCTACTATGACTAATTGTAGCAGTTCTTTCTTTTTTATGAGCTATTTAATCAGTCTTACACATTCTACTTTTCGCTCTTTATAACAATATGTTTCCACACTGTTTATATGCACGCAGTAAAGCAGAGATCAATGTTGTTTTCATTGTTAAGGTTGGCAGTAAATTGAGAATATGGACGTCCACAGATACAGTAGGAAACTGGAACCCTTTCAGTTGCAGATCACTCTGACTTTTTTGTTCCAAGTTAAATTTATAGCACCATAAGCTCTATTTTTTTTTTTACATAAACACAAACAAACTACCCCACTCCTGCTGAGAAAAAAAAACCCTCCCTCCATCATCAAGAAACCAAAACTATGTTACTCCTCCCTATGAATACTGTTGTGTTCATAGGGATGGATAGCGTTTATTTACCCAACTCTATCATAGACGTCGCATTTATAGAGTGAAAAGTAAGATCTGTCCCATCAGCTGGTTCTACCTTCTGAGCACAGAGTTTTTTTTTTGAAAAAGAAAAAACTCCAAAAGTGTCACATATTTCATACAAAATGCAACAAACCTGGCTATAATTACTTTACAGCTCTGTCACTGGCCTCTCTGACATGTTCATCTGTCTTAATGAGGTTGTTTGTTCCCTGATGTTGTCGATAAACCTGTGAAGCCTTCAGAGAAAAGCTGGATTAGTACAGAGACTAAAACAGCTTCACTTTATTACTATTATAGTCTTATTGCGGGTAATTGGCTGCATTGGATTTTACTTTAGTGGTCTCATTTTTTTCCCCTTCCACTTAACATTTATGCACCATCTTGTGACTCACATAAGATCTCACTTGAATAAATCAAAGTTATGAAACATGTTGAAAGGATAGGCATTTTTCTAAAGTCATTCGGGATCTTTATCTTTTGTATGTTTCTAGTTGTGCAGCACATTTGCTTGAAAGACAATGA